GGGCTTTTGTGGGAGAGAAGGGAAGGGAAGGGAGCAGAATGGGCACCTCCCAAGGGCTTAGGCACCCCCTCTCTCATTCTCTGTGTTGTGTGTTTCTTTGTCTTCTTGTGCTGGTGATAAGTGCCATCAACTCCCTCCTGCTGAGGAGGGTCATCCATCTGGGAGACTTGGATGTGATCTTAGCCAAATTTCCTGCCCTGGGGTTCCCCAACTGCGGAGGAGCCATCGATGGGACACACGTTCCCATCCAAACCCTGGACCATCAAGTGGCCCAATATATAAACTGTAAGGGCTAATTTTCTGCTATCCTGCAGTTCCTGGTTGACAATCAGGGACAATTTATTGACATTTTTGTTGGGTGGTTGGGCAGGTCTCATGATGCCCAAATATTCCAAAACTCAAGCCTGTTCCACAAGCTGGAGGTGGGCACATTTTTCCCCCACCGGGACTTTGTAGTCAGGGATGTGCACATGTCTCTGTGCATAATGGAGGATGTGGTGGAGAATTTGGGTACAGCAAACTCCCCAAAGAAGGCGTACCCTAAAGGGCGTGTTTTGGGGACTGTTGTTATTATTGTAGGGAGAGGCTAAAATGGAGGGCACAAAACTGTTGGAATGGATGGCCGAGAACCAGCGGCAATTCCAGCAGCAACAGTCACAGCTAATTCAGCAGCTGATGTCACAAGGACAAGAGCAGCAGAGGCAGCTCATAAGGGAACTTTTCGACCAGAAGCAGCCGGCGACAGGGACCGGGGTTACCGGGCCTGCTGAGCACGGCCCGGGAGATAGAATTCAGCTACTCATCTGCCTCACCAAGATGGGGGCGAGTGATGACCCCGAAGCGTATTTGGTGACGTTCGAGCGGGTAGCCCAATGGGCTACCATCCTGGCACCTTACTTAATGGGCCCAGCTCAACTCGCCTACCGCAGTCTCCCGGCCCGTGAAGCGGCATGTTACTACAAAGTCAAGGAAGCAATCCTCAACCAATTAGGGGTCACGCAGGAGACCTACAGGCAGAGGTTCCCCCAGGAACAATACCCGCCAGGGGCTCCGCCACCAGCGGTGGCGCGGAGAATTGGA